TGTCCTTAGCTTACCTTGAGCTTCTTGCAATGCACAGAATGGAACAAGTAAGCACAAGTAAAAAATGGTATTCATTCTTTACAGTATAGGTATTAATTGCTCCTAACAAATTGCAGATATCCGTTGAGGCCCACTTGGAAGAAAAAAAAGAGTCTCCTCAGCATCTGGATTGATACGTGAACAGGAAATATGTTCACAAACTATCCAAAATGGAGTTGCGTCAGTGCACCAAACCGTATTACATGTAGGCCTACACAGGGTTCTGCCTGACTGAACAAGAAATAAGGAACAAACTTGTACTTAAACCCATGACTATTGGTGTGAGCCATTGCAGTATCCCCGTGAATTAACTTTAAATGACAAAGAAATGCACAGGGGTTGAATATGGGGCTTATAGTGTGCACGTTCTATGCAGGTATTCGGTATTCATGGCCTCTCCTGAATTTCATGTACAATGTCACGACTTGTTCATGCGATTAAACCTTGTGTTGTGAGAACAAAAAATTCCTTGGTCAGAGCAAGACCTGCAGTTTACTAAATGAACCTTCTGGAGGGCAGGATTCAATTTCCAATCCTAAGATATTTACTGATTGTTTCAATACCTAATTGGTTCTGTATTAGCTTTATAGCCAGTTAAATCACCCCTGTCTATTGATATGCACTTCACTGACTGCATTTGAAGGGCAAAGCCGATATTATTAATAGCAGTCATCGTTCAATTGAGCTGTTCATTTGTTTTGTGTCTGTTGGTCTTGGGGGGAAAAACATTTTTTTAAATGTTCGTTTTAGACCGTCGAAGTGCAACTCGCGGAATCTGTCGTGCATAGAACTCAAAGGTCACAGGGGAGCGGCAAGTGGGTGCGTGCCGGCTTTATGTGGGGAAAGTAATACCTACATAATTCTGATTTGCTCATTTCTTACATTCCTGCTAGGTGCCTAAGGTCTGCAAATTCGTCCCTGCTTGTTGTGCCTAAAACTATTAAATCTTGGGGGGACCGTTCATTTTCTCATGCTGGACCTATGTTATGGAACAAACTTCCTCAAAATATTCGTGATAGTGCTACTTCCCATGAGTTTAAATGTGCTCTGAAGACCCACCTATTCCAAGCAGCATTTCATTAATCATCCAGTTTGATTTCACTCTCATGTGTACTGTTTCATATTCATGTATTTTCATTTGTGCGTACTTTTGTTCCCTGCTGTTTTTGCTGTTCATGTTTATTTGTTTGTTTCTCTGCGCCTTGAGCATCTAATCAAGATGGATTTGGCGCATTATAAATGCTCTTTATTATTACCTAGCGTGCCCGAGCGTACGCATGAATTCAAAACTGGCTCGCGGGCCGTGGAACAGGTGGAGTTTTTGAGAAAATATTTTGTTTTCCGCGGTAGTTAGGTCTTAATCATCGTTCGTGCTGATATAAAAATCTATATGTTTCGGAGAATAGTTGAATGCCATGCTTATAACGATATATTCTGGGATCAGCAGCTTCGAAGACTCGAGTATCACTGAACATCTCGAGTTTAGAGGGAACAGAATCGCTAACTACGGACAAATTGTTAGCATTCGAAAAAAAGTTAAACAACTGAAGGACTGACATTATTCTAAGCTGTTTCCTGTTCCACTCTTGAGTTGGTTTGAGAGGAAATATGCTGTATAGGATACGAGGCTTCCCCCGCCGCTTTGCGGTCGAACAACTAGTGAAAAACTCGTGGACATTAACACACACAAGGTACTGTGTAAACACCGTCAATCGTGGACCCCCCCTATTCAGTGTCCTTCTTTTGTTTGTACTTCAAATTTTCAGAATGTCCTCCCATATGTTTTGTACACGATCGTCAATTGTGGACCTTCGGGAACTCTATTGTTCAATTTCCCCTACCGAGGGCAGAAACAAAACTCACAAATACACACGCTCTTGTGTTACTGTATACTTTCGAGGACAATGCTTTGTGTTTCCCTTTGTCCATGTAATATAACACTCTCCCATCTAGACTAACTACACAAATTAACTACGGAAGACCGTTTTCAACAAAAGACCCAACTCGAGAGGCCTGAAATGATCTGTCGTTCTCCCTTTGTGTGTCGTTCGTCGGGAGTTATGTAGAACACGTACATCCATTCTTGTTCCGTAACAGTGGGGACTACACACGTGTTGTCCCATGGTACTATATGGACAGCTATGGGGAACACGGAAGGTCCCCATAACTCAGTCTTACTTACCCTAACGATGAAAATTCCCCATAACGCAGTGACGGTCCACCGACACGTACGTATATTCATACCTACCGTGGACATACTTTGTATTCATGCAATTAAGAAAAACAGGAGAAAATCTCATTTTATTTACACTGTGAATACTCATTCAACTATTTTTTTAATAATGATTTCCTTGAGTGTTCAACTTCAGTTTGCGACACATAAACCTACCCCCAAAATACCTCTAAGCCTGTTTTCCAGAGATGGGGAAACCTACTGCGGACGTGTGCAAATCCTAAAGCCTGTGAGTCCGCAAAGAATATAAAATGTTAGAGCAGCCTTTCTTCTTCATAGTATAGGACAAATGGGTGTGAACTAAAGGCAAAATAGGATAATTCGAATACCCAAACACAAAACTGCCAAAAGACTATAAAATAACACACTTAATTGAAGTAAATGATTGTTGAAACATCATGTAAAATCGTTGAGCAAAGTATGCCACTATGCTGTCATTCCCAAGAAAAGAGGAACTGTATGCCAGTACTAACGATTGTTACGACCTATAACCATCGCTGAAAACAACATTATCTCAAATACTACATCCTGTTCATTAAACGGCCGCGATCCATATTATGTTGACTTCATGCGTACGCAGCTCGGGTTCGCAAGGTATAATGTATGTATAACTTTCTCAAGAGAGAGCCGGCATTAGGGAATTCGTATCGACCTACACGCATGAATGGGGCCGAGGATGCACAAACCATCGGGATGCATGACGTAATGTCTTCGAATACTCATTGGAAAGAACTTGCTGGATCACAGAAATGCTATTATTTCCTTATGCGCATGACACGTGCGCACAAATTGTACGAGCATTTGAGCTGCAGTAAGCTTCCGACATTGCTTTGCACGTCAATGCTCCCTTCCAATTTGTGCAAGAGATCAGCCCTTCCCAGCGCCCTGTCTGAGGGTACGAGCGAATGGGCGGTATGCATTATCTGTCCACGCCAGTAAACGGTACACAGCGGACAAACTAAGCCGTTGTTTGTATAGCGTCCTCAGTTGAAGTACAGTGGAGAACACTGCTTAGTAACAAACAAACGAATAGCGCAGATGTACAACCTCATGGTAGCCGACCTTTCGAAACTAATTGAGCCATTTTGATCCTTATATTTGCTAATAATTCCGACTAATAAGAAATAGTAAATGATGCAAGGAGGTAAATTTATTATACCTTATTTTGTCTTAGGCAAGAAGTATTTTCCTTGCATTTGATGAGATTATATGATTATTTTGCGACTGAATTCTTAGTAATTCTTACCATGACCAGATGATTACTTTATTTTTGCTCACACTCAGTGAGACTTTCTGATATGTGTATTACACTTATACACGTAATCGGTGTCAACTTCTGTCATAATTTTCATTACATTTTGTTTATTCACAGTTTTCAAGGAGCCATGCAATTGTGACAATACAAGTTTCGTGAACCTGAGGCTTCTGTCGAAACCCTTGTCGATTCGTAACTTGCGACTTCTGACCCAATATGCGCAACTCATGCGAACCTCCAGCAGTAGCACTACTGATTTGATGAGGAGCCGAAGACCTACACTACCCCCTGAAGTGCTACCGCTACACCCGCCAAATATACCGACTTGAATTCCAGTCAAACACTCGGGCACTCACCCAGCTGTGTACACACCGGCAATCGTTGTCCCTCATTGTCCCTAATCCTCATTCCTTCGTTTGTACTCAAACGTGTTAGCAACAGCTCTCACTGGTTTTGTACACGATTTTCCTTCGTGGACGTTCGATCAATTGTGGACGTATTGTTTGTGCCCTAATTATAACCCTTTTGTCATAATTTCACTATTTCTGGTGTTTACATATACACTGTGACCAATGGGCTCGACAGTTTCGGCGAACAGGAATAAACAGTGTTTTGTCGTGTTTTTCCAGCACCAATGGACACTAAACATTCAACAGCTTAGTGGATTGGGGTAATTTTACTGGCTATAACGCTTATTAGGAACCAATGTAGGTATTGAATTAATCAGCAAATTCCTTATAGGATTGCATATTGAATACTGCCATCCATAAGGCCAAACAAAATAGGTCTCCGGTTTCTGGTATGCACGCGCGTCGATCGCTGTAGCCATGCGCGTCGGCAAAATGAAAAAGGTTTTATTTCAATGAAAGATGATGTCTCAAAACCACCAAACTCACTGGTTCGACTGGAATCCTGCTGCTGCACAATTTTAACGTGTTTTTAGATGGGGTTATGGTCGAGAATAAACTCTCTGGACTCCCATATATTTGCAATAAGTTTCGTCGGGCACCATTTGCAGTCATCAGCCGACATGTAAAAAACAAAAAGCCACTTTTTTGGCCTAGCGCGGTGTTATCCTACCCATATCAGTAGGCAGGGGTAATGTTACTGGCTATAGTGCTAATTAGGAACCATTATAGGTATTTAAATCATCAGCGAATCCATTAGGTTCATCTAGTAAACTGCTGATTATGCTCTGGCCAAGGAATTTTTCGTTCTCACAACACAAGGTTTAATCGCATAAAAAAGTTGTGAAATGCAGGAAATTCAGGAGAGGCCATTACCGAATACATGCATAGAAAGTGCACACAATGGCCTATTCTTATCTTATATATGTACACCTGGGCCGTTCTTTGTCATGTTAAGTTCATGGGAATACAGAAATGACTCATACCCATAGTCATGGTGTTAAGTGAAATTGTGTTCCTCATATCGTGCTAAGTCAAGCAGAAACCTGTGAAGGCCTACATGTACCAAGGTTTGCTGTACTGACGCAACTCCATTTTGGATATTTCGCGAATATATTTCCTGCTCATGTATCAATCTAAGTGCTGAGGAGACTGTTTTCTTTTTCTTCCAAGTGGGCCTAAACGGATATCTGCAATTCGTTAGGAGCAATCAACACCTACTACTCTTCAGAATGAATTGGGTGTTTTACATGTGCTTACTTGTCCCATGCTGTGAATTGCTGAGAGCTCAAGGTAAGGCAAGCAAGGATACAATCAGTACGAATATCTAAAACTAAGTGCGCAGCAAAAATTGCGGTGTTGGCCGACTTAACACCTGTGGCATAACACCCTCTCAAATGTGTATCCTTGTGGAGACATTTCTTTGTTCTCGTGTAGTAAAGTTTTCAATTTTGAAAGTGAAGTTTCAAAATGCTCTTATTTTAACCAGAATTAATTTCCTTGGCTGAAATTTGGACTTAATATCCCTTTTCTAAAACTCTTCCATTTGCGACAAATCAACCTACCTTGGAAATTCCTTGTGTTTGAGTAAAATCCATATATCTATTTCGTGAAAACCTTGTGGAGACCTATTCATCTATAGAAATTGCCTTGTGGAGACCTTTACAATGTTGTGTTCCCTATTGTGTGCGAGTCTCCACAAGGATACAAATTTGAGCACTTTATTAGGACCATCGGTGTGAAGCCTCTCAGCCAGATACCATTCAACCAGATGTCAGGAGTGTTAAATATACACCACAGTTTATGCAGTGTGTACGTAATTCCAAATGCGGAAATGTGAGACATTTATTAAAACTTCTCGGAAGTGTGTGATAATTACACGATGCATGCTGCAAGGGGCAAAGTCGTATAAGTAAAGTCTGTCACGAGCCAATATGGCTCATTGGGCCGGGGTTCATCTCCGGTTTCATAGGCATGAAACGACTGAGAATAGTTCTACTCCCAGCACCACCACTCCCCCCCCCCCCCGCCCCCGATGGGATGCCAGTCTACCGCAAGTTACTCGCCAGTTAATGCCGGTACCCATTTATACTCCTGGGTGGAGAGGGGCAAGTAGGGATGAAGTGGCTGGTCCAAGGACACACATATGACCAGTAGTGGATTCGAACCTCTGACGCTCTGATCAGGAGTCACAAAAACCCTAACCACTTAGCCACACTACCCCACAGGCCAACATAAAGAATAACAATGCTGAAATAGTTTTGTGTTTTTAATTTTTTATATATTGAAGAGTAGACCCATACATATCATAATGACAAACGCCAATTCTTTTGTAATGTGCGTTTATTTGTTTATAAACCTGAAATTCATCGAGTTATTTGTTGGTCAGCGGGCGCATAATTGAAATCAACAGTCGTCGGGTTCTTCGTAAAATCAGAAAAATCGTGACGTAAAAAACAGGACTCGTCTATACTACGCTGCATAGGGAGTCCTGTTTTATTACATCATGATTTATTAAGTTTTAATTGCTGTCCCCAACGACTACTTTTACACAAATTGCACGTTCGGGCCTCAACCTGGTTTATGTGGACCTCTTTTGTTCGGAAGTCCACACAGTGAATGTAATGCCTTCCCACACGCACACACAAACAGCGCAGCATTACACAATTTCAAAGCACTGCTTACCAATCCTAATCTTTCGGACACTGGTCCTTATTCGTGGGTTATTCCTACAAGAACTACCCCTGAACTATTAGGTCGCGGCACGTTCTGAGACTAAATACGTAATTTTGGCAAGCACTGCTTTGAAATTGTCTGTGCTGTTATGGGCGGCCATTAGGGCAAAAAAGACAAAAACAAAAATAAAACAAAACCACAAAATTAAACGAAAACACACAGAAATAAACGAACAAGTCAGAAATAAACGAATATAACTCAGAAATAAACGAACAACTAAGAAATAAACGAACAATTCAGAAATAAACAAACAATTCAGAAATAAACAAATATAACTCAGAAATAAACGAACAACTCAAAACTAAACGAACAACTCAAAACTAAACGAACAACTCAAAAATAAACGTACAACTCAGAAATGAACGAACAACTCAGAAATAAACGAACAACTCAAAAATAAACGTACAACTCAGAAATAAACGAACAACTTAAAAATAAACGTACAACTCAGAAATAAACGAACAACTCAAAAATAAACCATCAACTCAGAATTAAACGATCAACTCAGAATTAAACGATCAACTCAGAAATAAACGATCAACTCAGAAATATATACGAACTCAGAAATAAACGAACAACTCAGAAATAAATGAAGAACTCAGAAATAAACGAACAACATCCCCAGGGTGTCGAGCAGCAGTATGCGCCCACCATGTGTACCAATGCAGTACAGTACAACATAATGTTGACCGCGGAATCCAAAATGGCGGACACCTTGCATCGCTTCACGCGATGAACACCGTAGAAAAACGGAGGGTAAAAATGTGGTGATTTTTCGTCGACGACCTCCGAAGCCAGAAAAAAGTCTATGCGAAAGGTAAGCCTGGGATGCAGTTTAATTTTTATGATGAAAAACGTTGACTTTGTAAACGTTTACCATGGCATTCCGTCATGTCTAGTCTGTACGTCATGTGTACCAACGGTATGCCAATACCGGCCGGGTTTGGCCACATGTACTGGGCTGGGATGGCGCGGTGCGCCATGACCACGGTGGTCAGACTGGAAAGAATTACATATACGTACGCCACTAGTTTTTCCCTGCAATGACTTAGTAATAGTACTAGTAGTAGCCACCAGAAAGCGGTAACATGTCCTAAAAAGTGATATTTAGCAGGGAAAATATTGAAATATTTAGTCAGAAAACACATAATTTTTCAGACCAGTCTCATCATACTGGTTTGTACACAGGGTGTGAAGTAACGTCCATCTAGACATGGAGGTAGACTATGTAATTCTTTCCCCGGACGGGCATGGTCCATATGTCTTGTTTATTTTTTGAGCATTTTGCCGCTTTAAAGATCAAACGACTTCCGCGACTCTAAAATTGTATTCATAATTCTAATAAAAGAGACTTTTTACCCATTATTTTTCAGTTCGAGTTGAATTTTTTTAGTATCTTTACACAACAGTTTTTACAAACGCAAAAGGCCCCTAGCCCGCTAGTTCTAGTATTAATGTTGAGCGCGATCGGGTGATCGTGATGCTATCTGTCGATTGCGCTGCCACCAGTCGAACCGCTTCTCAAATACTAAAGCCATTGACATGGTTAGTTAACTGTTTAGCCAGAAATACTCAGTGAACCCCAAATAAACTGTGAACTACTGTGTGCATATTGCATTATTTTGGTGACCCACAGAAGCAGAGAAAATGAAGAAAAAATGAATTGGATTTACTTAAACAAAATCAGCAGTTCATATCAGTTCTCTTTGGTTCCACTGGTTGCACAGGGTACAAGGGTAATGGTAGTAATCAGAACAGGATGTCAGCATGATGATTAATTTGTAACTCTCAAATGTTGGTTTCAGGACGATTCTAGTAACATGGAAGGGAAGCTTGTGATGAAACAAGATCCTGCCGAGAAGCTACCATGAAGCGGAAACTACAACTTTAATATGCCTCATTTTCACATGGGACTGGAGCAGACCAAATGCAGCCTCATCAGCTGGTTAAGTCTGTTGCAGTAGCATGTGCGACTGTTCAACGGTAAATGGGAAAACAGTGACATTTTCTTGGAAAGAAGATACCTATAACCTACAGGAAGCGTTCAAAGTACGCTGCTATGCTACAATATTTTGCCCTCACTAAATGAAGTAGGCCTACTTTTTTGTCTGTGTAGCCTACATATGTTCATGTACATGTAGGCCCTACTTTAGTCTTTGTTGTCACTCCAAGTCAAATCCATGTCACATTTGCAGTTCTACATGTACATGTAAATTGTAACTGTACAACTTCTGCACACAGAAACTAAAAGAGGTGCTACATTTTATTCTGCAGATATTTGTAAAAATTATTAAATTTAAATAGATACATACAGTGCTAGATACATGTAATGTAGCGGCCAAACTCAGATTTCTTCTTTTTGCCTTTACTGTTCAACAATTTCTATAAATTATTTAGTGATTAGTGTGATATTTAGTACCGTTTTATAAGCCTAAAAGTTGTATTTTCAACGCATTTGTTGGTTGCATAGTCACAGTATTGTGGAACCTGTTAAAAGCACATACTGCAGGTCGAGATTTATACAGGGTGTACATAAACCCTTCTTGCATTTAGACATCAGTATTCTTTAAATGTGGAGTAGCTAGTATAAATGCAAATTGTTGGACTGACACTGGATTTAGGTCATAGTTGATACACTCACTCCATGTACATTGTAGGGGCCTACATGTGTATTTACATAAACATTGCTTTGGACATGTGTGAGCGTGTGTTTAGAACATGTAAGTGATATGTAATGACCTAATTCTGTTAGAATAAGGTTACACAAACACTAGGTAATTTCTTGTAACAAACACATACATTTTATTTTCTATTTTATTGAAGTCAGTCTGTGCCTGACATCATGTACCACTACAAAACTGTATCAGGAGAAGTTGTATTACACAGTAAAGTTTCTGGATCTGCAGCACAGCATTGTTGTCTTTAATCTTTGGCTGATTCAAGTAAATTTTACAGAGAGTTGTTAGGGGCCAATCACAATTTTAAACTTCACACTCCCCCATCCCCCATCCAATTCACCAAAATGTCCCATCCTCCAGTGCCTCCAGCCCAACCCCCACCCCACCCCTGTCCCCCACCTTTGTCAAACAGATATCAGGATATTCATGGGGACCATCAGAACACTAGAAAAACAGTGACCAAGGTTCACATATGCCACATAGTTTGCACAAAATTTAGAATGGTGCACCTTTATTTCATTTTGTTCAAATATTTGTGCAATCTCATGAAATGCTGTTACAGGTTGAGCATGGTTAACTTGTGTACATGTACATACATGATATTTTGAAAAGCACAATTGTATACATTGTGTGCTTCTCAAAAAAATGTTTTACAACACAAGTGATATTAATATAACTGCT